ATTTATCCTATTTTTGTCTGTTAACATTCTGCTACACTGTGTGCCTGTGCTACTAAGTTTTACAGGGATGATGCAAATGCCATCCCCACTATCTTGTTTGCATTGTTTTTGAAGGATTGATATTAGTCATCTGTATATTTACTTCCATTTTTGAAAAGCTTTTTCTTGTTTTATATTAATTGATGCCATATCTTTTAATTAGTGGTGATTTTAATACCACCAGTTCTAGTGCTGATGAAATACTAAATGACACCACAGTGTGTGGAAAGACCATAGATGTTTTCTTTAAGCATACTTAAAAGACTCTTTAACCTCATCGATGTAATATTGTTATTTTGTTGAAAAAAAAAGAAGAAAAACTAACCTCATATTAACATTCAACAGCATTACGGTGCAGGTTAACCTCTTTACTCATGTATTTTCCTGAACTGTTTTTAACACAGATAATGCATATTTAGCATAGTGTTAAAGTATTTATATAGAAATAAACTAATTGTGAAGAGTATAATAAACTGTGCTCTACAGTTTAGATAAATAAATTACTAACATCAGAATATAGTGAGGATTCTTCAGTTGCTGTGGCAAGCCAGTTTTCATGGCAAACAGATATCAGCATAGCAGACTTAAAGAGCATTTTAGGAAAGTTCAATTAAAAGACATAAGTCAAAATATGGGTTAAGAGATGTTTATTTTTCTGGAGCTTTAAGTCATTTTTAATGGAAAAATTAATTATATTTTCTTCATTAAGAAAAAATTGTCAGAACTGTATAAATTACACAAAGAATACTTTTGTGACTTAATGATATTGATACTTTGGAATTGAAATCTGATGAAAGCTCTCAAAATTTTCTGCAACTGTTGTTTCTTGATTTTTTTAAACTTTCTTTTTTGTTGAATTCTGTCTATGATTGAAATGTTGATACTTTCTTTCAATATATCTACTACTACTTCAGATGAAGAACATCATAACTAACCTTTGTACTCAGAAATAAAGATAATTAAAGTATTTAAATTATCATATGCTTTTTTGTGTGATTATAGTTATCTTAAGTATACATGAATCAAGTTAAGCCTACTCACCACTAATAAAATGCAAACTTGATATATATTCTTTGTAATGTAATAGAAGAGGTTGCTTGTGCAATTTTATGTAATCTTTACTCATTATTATTTTTTATGCAGATGAAATCAAGAAGGAAACAAAAAATCTTAGGTAGGTTTTTTTCCCTCAATTAAAAAATTAAGTAAATGGACACACAGCAATTTAATACAATATCTTAATAAATCATATTAAGAACATTTAGGCTATGTTCATTCATTGTGTATTAGGGTATTTGAGGAAAAACAAGCATGTCTGAACTTTTTGTTAAACTAACTTTTCTTACCTAGACAGTTCTTCAGCTTTTTCTCTTATACTGAAAGTGTAATATTCATTAAGTTCAAAACCTAATTTCAATTTCCTTATCAATGCCTTTAACAGTGAGTTTCAGGCAATTTCAACTTAACAATATCAAATTTACTTGGCACATCAAAATAACTGGGTCATTCAAACTAATCTGGCTCATACACATAATTTTAGCTAAGGCTATTCTATTGAAAAAACTTATTGTGATACATTATATGTTTTCTATATTTGATCTCTGTCTAGCTTCTGAGCCCTTATTGCTTCAACTATATGATTCTGAACTTAAAAAAAATTTTAACTTTTGTTTTTACTGTTTATTTCGAGATCAATTGTTTAGTATAATTTTTCATGCATTAATATGAACTAATTCTTAATCTCCTTTAAAACCTTTTGGAAAATATTATCTGGCTCCTGGAACCTTATCATTCTTGAACTTCCAAGTTTATTTCTTAACAAACTTGTAATTAATGTGATAATATTGTTCCATTATGTGTCCATCTAGCAACTGTTCAGAATGAAGAATATTGCTTAAGTCTTCATTTGTAAAAACTTAAAAAAACATAGAATTTAGTAACCCTGCTATCTCGTAGTCATCAGAAATGAGCCTTTGTTTATCATCCCTCAAAGGCCCTCTCTCATCATAAAATTTTATTTTTAATGTGTTTAAAGAAATCCGTAATGTTAATTTGTACATTTTCATCCAACATTTTTATTGTCTAATGTCCTGTTTAATGAACTCTCTTGATTTTCTATCGTCCTCTAAATCACTCATCATATCAGTCTATTTCAACTTCTTAAATTTTTATGCTTTTCTTAACCCTTTGTGGATGGGTGGGGTGAAAGTGTGTATGTCACAACTTTTGCATAGTTACATTCAAAATTAAATTAATTCCAAAACATACATACCTCCTCTCACATTAAAGCAATTATTTAACTGCCAGGATTTCTTCCTTTGCTCATCTAAGCATTGGTCTGATTTTTTCTTGCTTGCTCCAGTCTTTAATACCCCACTTAATTTCCCTTCGCAATATCTGTCTCATGACACTCTACACCGATGTCAATGTACTGTACCTCATTCAGATAATGTTACCACTTTTTCTCGACAAAGCATTCACTAATGGGTTTCTCTGTTTTATGATCGTTAGGAGATACTTTGAGCATTCTTTGTAAACCGAGTTGATTTTTGTAAACAAAAAAAAATTGAGGGAGGGAGAAGAGTCACTCTTGGTTGAGATTGTTAGTGATCTTATTGTAATGAGATGGAGACATATATTTGGTTTGATAGTGTTCCTCTGGGGGCCTCTAAGGTTGCATTTAAGGGTGATCCTGAACATTCTGGAGAGAATTTATATTTGCTTTTTCCTACATCTTCTTCTATTATGTTGACTTCTCAGGAGGTCACTTTGAGATAAGCTGCCTCAGGCTCTTTTTCTTCAGTTGGCCCATCAAGTATGTGATGTTTTGGGTCTTTCCCCAGTTGCTTTTGAGTCTGCACCTTACTTGATGGCTGAAAGGTATGGGAGTGAATATTTAGTTTTCTCTGTATCCACTGTCATTGTGGTTCATGCTGGGAGGTTTACTGCTCACTACATGAAGGGACAGCTATGCCTTATCTGCCATGGTTGTTGGAACTACATGATTTAGCTTACCACCACCAGATGGAAGCATATTTTAACTCTCAAAGAATACATCTGCTCCTAGAAATTAGGGGTTCTAGAGTGAATAGATCAATGCCTCCCTGGTGGGACAATGGTAATTCTATGGACTTACAACTCTAAAATCCAATGTGTTGTTTTCCTAAAACTATACTTTATTAGAAAACTTAAGATCATCAAGTCCGTTGATGACAAGCTGGACCCATTGTTAGCATGCACATTAGGTCGATTTTTGACTTGTACATTCATCCCTGTTGTTGTTGCCATCTCGACTTTCATCGGCTCCTACAGGGGGTCATAGTTCTGCCCTTATTCGAGGGTCCCAACCCCCTACATCAACCCCTTGGTTCAGTGTTACCCAGAATAGATTCTGTTCATATTGAAGGGTTCTGCTGCTTGGTTGAACATTGCCAGCAGTGTCAGTGATTACTGTATGCCTTTAGGGTCTATGGGGCTCGGCTCTGAGAATTTACCTCATATCTACAAGCACTACAGGCCCTTGAATTAGGATTAGTCATTCAATTTACATCTTCACCACCATTATCCACTCAACCTGTAGGGTTTCCATCTTCCGCAGATCCTCTGATTTCTGATCTTAGTTCTAGGGCTATCAGAGTTTGGTTAGTAAGGGGGTAGAGAGAGAATCCTGCCAGTTTGTTGAGCCCAAGAAGACAGGAGATTGGTGTCAAGTCATTGATTTTTCTCATTTATATCCATTCCTAGATTCTCCAAGATTCACAAGTGACTCATTCCTCACTTGAGTTGACATTTTTTACTAAGATTGTGGATGTCTAAGTTCGATGTATGTTAATTGTATATAAGTTTCAAGTTCTTAATTTTGTAAGGCAATATTTTAAAATAATTCTGAATTTCCCCTAGTGTGAGAAATGTGAATTTTTTTTCTCTAGGCATCCCCTCTTCTCAAATTTATTGATCACCCCCTCCAAGAAGTATTAAATTTAACATAAATTACTCATTATAATGTTTTCATTGTCAGGCAAGACATAATTTTTCATAGCCTTCAATTTTGTTTGGTTACATAGCCATCAAATAGAAAATCAGACCCCTCTTGCCACATTCACCTGTCACAGCCTCTCTTTCATGATTTGTCAATAGTTCTTTCTGATGTTCAATACTATATTATTTATAACAAATAGAAAGCCAAGGTTTTCATCTACCAAATGATGTATTACATTACATTGTTTTCTGTACAAACTTTGTTTCCACTGGAAAGTTTCTTATGGGAACAAAGCTTGTATACTGAAAGAGAAATTAACGTACTGTAGATGTAATAATGACAGTCCAGAAATTTGATGACTACAAAAGTTGATATTTACTTTTACAATATTAAGTATTCACTAAATCATTTAATGAATAAGAATACTATGCCATTGAATTTGAATATGAATACTTAAATTTTTCCTACTAAAGTATTTGAATACAAGTATGAATATTCTCAAAGTTATATTTGAATGCAATCTAATATGAATACCCCATATCTGCCACATACACACCAAAAAAACAGCATTGACTACAGTTTGCAAAGTCCTTTTCACTTAAGTGGTATCATTTCTCTAAGAAATCTTTGTTTTAACATAACAATTAACATTTGATGGACAACAAGGAGCCCCATGACTAATTGTGGCTGTTTTATTCATTTTGTCAAATGTCTATCTGCATATATCCAGCTCTGTCTCCCCAAGTACTCATTAAGCCCTCTTTTGAACCTTCCAAGTCCTGAAAACTCAATTAAGGCATCTTATGCATAAGAGAAAAATATAAAATAAAACAGTGTCTCAAAATGTACAGTTAAACTATATGGCTGATGACTAACATGAAAAATTACTCAACATGATTTGTTTGGTTTTTGTTACCATGAGCGACACATACCAGGCAATAGGAGTTTTATAAGCAAAGAGTTTAACTCCTTAAAAGCATTAAGGGATGGTAAGAATATATTTTATATAAGAAATTGATATTTCATTCTAAAATTATTCATTAACACCTGCTAATATATCATTCTTAACAATAAATTATACAATATACAGTATAAAATCTCAGCAGATTTGATAATATTAAATTCAATTTAAATATTAGGTCAATATATTTTAATTTAATTCCTATTTATCAACTGACCTATTTTGATAGTGTGTTCAACAAGTTAAAAGAATTTGTCTTTTTATTATATACATAACCTTAATATTCAGTAAGACAATATTTTAAGTTGCATTTAATTTGACTTGTGTATTTATTGTCACATTCTTATGTACTTTCATATATACCATTTGTATTTGAAACACCTATTTTAACTTTAGAACTAAGAGCTACTAGTTGAATTATAATAATTGGTCTATAAATAGGAATGAAATTTTGTTCACTGAACACATTGGTTATTTGACCAGTTGCACTTTATATATATTATCTTAGTATCTTTAACTTTATTATCATAGGCACTGTCTAATTTTGTGCCCTGCAGTATGAAATTTTAATTCTTCTTATTCTGAGAGAAATTGGCCATAAAATCTCAAACTCTAGCAATAGTCTGTATGTAATTAAGTTCGTTATTTAAATCAATTATATTATAAAAAAAATATTAAAAGTTCTGTTTGTGCAACTATGAAAAGTTGAAAGTTAAATGTATGTACCTTAAATTTAGTAGTTATCACTTCATCATCAATGGTTAGTCTTTTTATGTACTACCTAATTGTTTCATGTTATTGCTGAGATAAGCTAGTTTGTCCATGTTTTTAGGCATCAATGATCATCTTGTCTTGGTTGCAATATACCTGGTGTCCAGTTTTAAAATGAAAAACTATTAGTGTTAGTATATATTTTACACTTATTCTACCATAATGATTCTCTTGCAACATATTGTACACTAGCTATTCACTTCATGTTTTATTAGAACAGTACATCCCCCATACTGAGGTGTCCCCCCCTAAGCAAAGTGGTGCTATGTGTGACAGTTTGGTAGTGGATTTTAATACAATAACTTTTGTTAAAGGTTAAAGGAATTATATAAATCAAAATATTGAATTGTGCAGCTTTGAAGGCTTAGAACTACTTTCAAGTTCCTGGCTAGTGAATGAAACTGAGAACCTAGGAATACAACCCCAGAGGAATGCCTATAAGAATTGTTGGAATTGACTTGAATCGTATAAATATTAATCCCTTGGATAAATAGAAGGAGTGATTGATTAAAAATACATAAATAATCAGGAACAGACAAGATTTTCCCAAGTTAATGATCAGATATTATAGTCTCTCTCTCTCTTTCATTTTTGGAAAGAAAATAGACAGTTTGCAGGGGCCTCAGAATTGGAGAGTTGCTTATGATACTCCAATTTTTATAGAGGGTAATAAGAGTTGCCTTGGAAATTATAGGGCAATTGGTCTTTTATACAAGGTTTACAAACTCATTTAGCATAATATGATATAAATGAAGTCCAACATGAATTTTAAACTTTATAAATGAAAAACAGCTAAAATGAAAAAAAAAACAAACAATAAAACGGTTTCCCAAATTTTAACATGGTATCATCATGTGTCCAGATGATGCCATGTTAATGATGGCAAAATGTAGTTTTATTGTATATTTATTTTTGTTCAATTTTAGCTGTTTTTAATTTTTAAAAGTGTATGGGATAACTCAGCACTTACTAGCATGAATTTGACTAAATAAGGAAATCTTGCCTTACTAATCTTTTTTTTGAGAATATTCCTTGTATCTTTACAATGGAAAGTGTGTATCATGAACCACAATAGTGGTTCATAATGGGGATTGCAAGGAATTGCACAAAATCCCAATAGAATGTTTGGGCAAAAAGCACCTTAAACAGTAAAGATTCATTTCAAACAACACTTTAAAACCTTTACTATTGACTGATAAGGCTATAGACATATAAAAATGCACAAAAAAAGCATACATGTTAAACTTGCATGGAAAAGAAAATCTGCTCAAAATGGCCCATTTGAAATTCTTATTATTATTCTTTTGCCAGCCTACAACAAAAATGGCTTGGTGTACTGCACCCAAACATTTTGTAGAATACTAAATAAAGTACTGTGAAGGTCATAGGAGTATTGAAAAGTTGATTTGTTTCTTCTATATTTTATATAAGATAAGAAACATCATAACTCTAGTGTAAATGATGTTATCATTACCATCTGAAGTTAACTTTCTTAGTACTACCTGGTGTTCTTTTAAAAAGCTTAAGTACATGGTGAAACAGGAATTACCAGCCAATAATAGATGTACATTAGATGACTGTAATATGTAGATACTGAAATATTTGGACACTATACAATCGGTGTCTTTAGGGAGCCAACCCTTATATTGTGTATGAAGTGAAGGAGTAAAAAATATCAATAGACATAATATTAAATTTCATTACACATGTAAAAAGAATAAGACACACAGTAGTGTGTTGTGAGGCCAAAAAACTCTGCAGGACACATTGTGTGTTATTAACATAAGTGAGAGCTTAGAAATTTTCCACTTTCTGTATCTTGGACTGTGGTAATCCAAACTATCATATATTCTCAGCGGATGTGCTCTACTGGACCATTACTTCACATACCAAATTTCAAGGTAATCCATTAAGAAATACACAAGATATAAAATTTCCAGTTTTTATTCAGTTTTTTCATATTTTCTTTTCTTCATACCAAAAGTACAGACATTTTATTTGGAAGAAAAACATACTTAACTTTTATGGATTGTTTTCAAACTTGGTACACTGATAGATCTTTATAACCAACAATTAGGTGTTAAATTTGGTATAAATATAAGTCACATATGCAAATATATTTTGACTAAAATTTTTTGCACGCCTATGCATAAAGTCATGCGAGTTATTGGTCTGTAATTTTTACTACAGCTTCACCAAGAATCACTGATTTAGAGCAGCAAAACTATAGGGTGAAAGTATTGGTTAGACCAAGCAAACTAGATTAGCAGTTTTTAGTTCAAGTTTCCAAAAGAATAATATGGGTGGATAGTTATTATTCATTATTTGTTGCCAAATTTTTAGCACAAATTTGCTAAATTTTATGAAATTCTTCTGATGATGCTTGACACGCTGTACTGAGTGCTTGCAGATGATGACAAGAAACTGCTAACCTAGTTTCCATGGTATTACTGTAAAGGAAGTTGTTAACACCTTTTAGAGAGGAAAACTACCACCATATATTTTAAAGAATCTGGTTAGTTCTGTAAAGTATAAGTCTGTTCCGAATAATAGGGTTACGATCCTAAAGCTAATGTTGGTTGCTGTCAAATGTCACTTCTTACTTAGGTGTGAAAAAAGGGTGTGGCCAAAAAAGGATTGAACATATGACTTAAAGGAATAAAATCAAAATTGGTGGCCAGACTGGAAGCTACACTAATAGCATTGAAAATAATTTTTTACAGCAAATATTAATTCGTTAGTTAGCTAGGCAGTATAGTTTGTTTTACACAGTCATGCCCCAAGTTTTGATTCCACCAATAATTTTAGGTAACAGCATAGATCCAAAAATAGGGGCTTGTAGTTTGAATAAATAATGTCCACAGTATCTCCAACCTTTTTTTACGATCTCTGCTTGCAGGTTTTTAAGTTCCCAATTTGTTGTTTATCTTGTGTCTACTTAGATTTCAAAAAGATTTTTATCAGATGCCACACATGAAATCACATTGGTAGAGGTTGGGGAGATTCTGATTAATTAGATTGTATGGTGGTTGATTAAAGAAAGCTAAATTGTAATGTATTTTTAGACATACTGATTAAAAGTTCAAAGAATTAATTATCTTTTTACAAAGCACTAGTTAAGCCTTACTTAATATACTCTTTAGTAAAGTTTTGATTGCCTTGTCTAAGACAGGATATTGATTTATTGGAAAGGATTCAGAGATGGAAAGGAAGCATTAAGGAAGCATTTTCCAAAGAATCAACCTTATTCAGCTGTTTTAGTCTGTAGGTTTGTGTAGGTTAGAGATACCATTTGAAGGATTAATCTTAGTTGTATTTTTGAGAAGATTAATGTGTCAAGTTTGCATTCTGACATCATTGTTTCTTGGAATTTCTGAATTGCTTACTTACATTTACACATCATTTTAAAGCTTTTGAATTATTATGCAAGGCTATCATTTGTAACTTGATTTTTTTGTATATTCTTTGCCTTTTTATTTTAGGAACTAGTGTACCAGTGTGAGAGCTGCCAATATTACATGATTTTTAACTACATGTTTTGATAAAACCTTAACCTTTTGTGAAGAGAAGAGCAAATAGAGAGTTAATGAATGGTTTTATTTATGGGATTTTGAATGTAACAGCAAGAAGATTATTGCAATGTTATACATGTATAAGGCTGAGACTATAAGGAATTATGGAAAAAGCCAACAATAAATGAATGGTAACATGACTTGCACATGTTATGATTATGAAATCCCCAATTTGGCAGTAGATCCATTTCTTACTGGTTGTCCTTTATGATGATGTATTTTGATTACATGTACAATTTACTGTATCTTTATAGTGATTTCAACAGACTAATTGAAGTTAAAGATCTGTAAATGTTAGCTTTGTTGTTAAACTTTAGAGAATGCTTTCAAAATATATATACTTATTTTACGCTGTATGATTAGACTGAATTTCTACAAGCTAAAAGAAATTGATTAAGTTGTTAAGAAATGCAGAAGTCATTTGTTAAACAAAATACAAGCATGTTAGTGAGCTGTGATGGTGTTAAATCACAAGCATGTTAGTGAGCTGTGATGGTGTTAAATCTTAAGAAGCAGCATTAACAGCATAACTTCTTCAATAATCAAATTATGAAAATATTGAAATGTGCAATTGTGTAAAATAGTAACAGGACTAAGTGGTAAATATATACAAGTGTTTTAATTTTTCAGTCACCTTATGAAATTCAGGGATCATGAACTTAACTTGAACACAGTATATGCACCTTTTAGTTTTCTTTTCTTACCAAAAGTATGTTTAAATATTTTGATTTTATAGTCAGAAAGAAAATAATGCATCCTCAACCTTGCCTCTACCAAGTCTAAAGGGGAGAAACTTGATGCTGATAAATACTTCTTACCTTTTGAGCTGGCATGCCAGTCAAAATCTCCTAAAATTGTTGTTACAGCACTAGACTGTGTGCAGGTAAATTATTAGTCAACAGTTTTTTCCTTAATTTATTTAATTGCTTTTTAAAGGTTTTTGATATTAGTGTGGGTTTTTAACCCAAGAAATAAGGAAGTCTATAGAGGTTGAATATGTTGTAAAATTTAAGATATATTAGTAAATGTGTGCAGCATTTCGGACTACTAGATTCGGATGTGATTTGGTGTGATAATCTACTATCTAAAGCATAGTTGGATATGTTAAATTTTTATGTAATTCCAAGAATATTGTCAGTTTTTAATGCAAGTTGATTGAGTACTTGGTTCAGTACTTGACACAGAATTAAAAATTAATGTTAAAAAATATTTTTTATGTGTCATTGGTTAAGAATATCTAGGTACTTGATGTATAATATTGCTTTTGATATTATTTGAAGGCATATTTAATCTATTTAAATATGTTGACAGAAACTTATTGCCTATGGACACTTGACGGGTAATTCTGCTGATGCCACTGACTCCAATAAGCTACTAATTGACAGGATAGTAGAGACAATTTGTGGTTGTTTTCATGGTCCTTCTACAGATGATGGTGTCCAATTACAGATCATAAAGGTTTGGACATATTTTTAGGATAGTATCTGAATCTACCCTGTGAGTTAACCTAAGAATTTAAAGTTAGAAATGTATTTTATTTTCTTTATCAATTGGAGTGATGGATTTTGGCTGGTTTCAGCAACCCTGCATATTTTGAATGTAGTAAATATATATATATATATATATATATATATACAACATTACAGTAATACTTTTTATTATCGTAGGAGTTTTAGTATAATTATCCAAGATGTAATTACTTATTTTTGCACTGTTTGCTCAGTTTTGTTGGGAAAATTAGAAGTAGTTATAAAATATGAGTTCAGTAATTAGATTTTAATTAAGAATTTATATTATATGTAGAATTTGTTGACTTGTGTTAATAGTTTTTGTTATACGTATAGTATTTATTTTTCTTTAAGTTTGAGGGCCGTTATGAGTCATCTGGTAGCGTAGAAACTTATTTTTATTAAACAAATATTTTTAGTAATAATGGAATAATTTGAATCAAATATGAAAATTTAAATGCTATGCAAATGTGTACATAATTTTTGATAATATAGCTTCTTGTATTTCTAATTAATTGTAATACAGTACAATGGGAGAGGGCTTTTTTGTTTTATCCTCAAATATTAGTTGCGTCTGAAGTGCTCATTTCATTAGTTTTTCCTTCACAACATTATGAAATTTGCAATTTGCAGTCTCAAAGTTATTAAGAATACATCCTTGGTTGTTTTATCTATAAATAAAGAATATTATTATTATTTTTAATGTTATAGAATTGGCCAATTAGGGTGGCAGCGACAACATTGAAAGCACACATACAAATATACATACATACATACATACATACATATATATTCAGTTCCCAACACAGTTATGCTGATGTTTTAATAAAAGTACATGCTCTAAAGTTCTTGTAAGTGGATGTTTGTTGAAATTATATGTTTTAACTGTGTCTTCTGACAAATTTATTCAATATCAGTATCACAAATGTTTATTTGTTTAAAGTTCATAAGGTGTAGATAGGCTAGCCATTATTTTGATTTTGTATTTTCTCCACTTCCTTGTTGATAATTTCTGTACTTGGATACCAGTGAATAATTCTTAACTTTGACTTTTAAGTTATTCACAAATTGCTAATTTTTCTAAGCTGATGTATTTTTTCCCCCAAAATTCAAAATGTTTTTGCTGAGAAAAATCATAGGGATATTTCCCAAATCTTTTGATGAAACCCTGGTTAAGGTAATTCTTCCATATGTTATTATATTCATGATAATTTTTATGTTATTACAAGGCTTTGCTGACAGTAGTAACATCTCAAGCTTGCGAGGTCCATGAAGGCAGTATTCTTCAGACAGTCCGGACATGCTACAACATATACTTGGCAAGTAAAAACCTTGTCAACCAGACAACAGCCAAAGCAACACTTACACAAATGTTGAATGTAATATTCAGTCGAATGGAAGCACAATCTGTAAGTACTCTATAGAAATATTTAACAATAGTACGTAGTTGTGGTATGTTTTAAGCAATAGTACGTAGTCGTGGTATTTTGGCAACCAAGAGGTAAGTTAAAAGCACCCAGTAATGGAGGGTCTTACAAATGTTTGCAATGTTTGTTAAGTCAGACTCAACAATATGACATGTTGGGTGAGACTTGATTTCTTTCATTGTAAGATACCTTTGAATTTTCATCAAAAAGCTCATCTTGTGAGTCACTATCTGTAGATTAGCTATCACCATCTCTCGCACTAAGTTGTGTTTGCATTTCAAATCCAGGCAAACAGAAAGCCTTGATCATGTTAGATGCATTATCAGATGTCACATATGACACCGTTTTGTTGATGTTAAAGAGATTTATTATTTCATCATATTGAGCTGCAATGTTATCAGATGTGTGATGCCCATTGAGATGCAGACATGCTAGCATGACTGTTTACTTTTTGTAGTTAAGCTTAAAATTCCCAGTGATTTCAAGAAAGCTGCACATTTGCCTGCTACTCCAGATATCTACAGTGATATTGATGTTGGGTACAAGTTGCAGAAGAGAGATGACTTTTTTTTTGGACTTCATCAAACCTGCTCTCGATCATCCCTGAGAAGGGTTGCAGTGAACTGGCAATAAAATTGAAAAATATGTTAGTGATGTGCTTCTGATGAGGGTGTGTAGACTTGTATTTAGTTGATTTCAGTATGCAGCTGCATCTGGGTGGAAGTACCAGAGCCAGATGTAGACTTCTGTAGCTCTGCCTCATGATTGCACTAGAAATACAAAAGTGTATCACAGTTATAGAATATAGTTTATATTAAAAAAACATATAATAATAATAATAAATAAAAATTATGAATATAGTTCAAAACATGAGAAATTTAGTTTAACTATGGTTTATAATATTCAAAAAATGAAAAATATATCATAAATAAATAAATATCTCAGTTATATAATATAGAATATAGTTTATAATAAAAAAATAAAAACATATGATACTCAATAAACGAAAAATATAGTTTAACATGCATGAGAAATTTAGTTTACCTGTATTATGTTGTATAATTTACATAAAATATAGTTTATATTAACACAAATAATAAAAAGGCTTACCTTCAGATGTGTCAGCAGGTTAGAAATGGTTTTTCCTGAAGTAGAAATAGTCCGCTCACAATATTTGCACTTTACCTTGATGTGACCAACTATCAGTAGGAAGTATGAAGTGTTCATGTACCACTCAAAGCAGTTTACTAGCCATCTCAACTTCTCTCAAGTGACTTGACTGGATTAATAGTCTGCTCACAATATTTGCATTTTACCTTGATGTGACCAACTATCAGTAGGAAGTATGAAGTGTTCATGTACCACTCAAAGCAGTTTTCTAGCCATCTCAACTTCTCTCAAGTGACTGGATTAATAACCAAGTAATACAGTAACTTTTAAGATGGTTGGAAAGTACTGACCAAATTTAGCATGTTGCAGGTGTAATAACAACAGTCTAGAAGTTGGAATAGTACAAAAGTTGACATTTACTCTTTCGATATTGAGTATTCACTAAATCATTCAGCAAATACAAATACCTTGCCATTGTATTGAATAGGAATACTTTACAAATACTCCCAAAGCTGTATTTGAATGTATATGAATACCCCATATCTGGTTAACTCATCTTGATTTGAATACCTGTAGTATCAGTGCACAGACATTTGCACAGGCAAAAGGCAAAACCAAATCTGTATGATCTAAATGTTAACCCTCTCCAGACGGGTCAGGGTCAAAGGCCATGTCATTGTGTTTGTTGACTAGTATTAACAATTTTATTGAACTACTATTTCATGAATTTATGTCAGTAAGTTTGGTATCAAACTGTAG